TTAAGAAATGTATGATTTTTTTTTCTTTAATTGAACTGAAAATTGAGAAAATGTTTATAATCAATAACAAAAACTGGTGGATAATTAAGGAAAGAAAACAGATAAGAGAGTTCAATATAACACTGTTCTATCTTTTCCTACAGCTCTTTCAGTGCTGCATGCCTTGTTTCTGCACATCAGTCCTTGAACACAGCCCTTATTTTAGCTCATTTCTCCCTATTAGACATTGCCAAGCTGGATATAATTAGTGAGTGTTTGGTGAAGAAAAAATACATGAAACTGAAAAAGACTAGAAATTCAAGTGTCAGTGAGTCTGAATGCTGCTACCATGCTGTTTCTATTGATCACGTTTTTGGTTTAGTGTCCAGTGATCTGCGCTTATGTTGTTGTTTGACTGAAATATGCCGACAGGTTCATTCTCATTATGAGCCTCATTAGGACATACATGCCATTTCTAATGTATTCCTCAGAGCTGGGTGATTACTGAGGCAGGAATTCACTGTGTTTAAATAAAGAGAATGAAGTAGTATGTAAGTGACGTATGTTTGCAGGGTCTTTAATAACTGGGACAGAGTGGTTTAATACAGGCACGAGTCCTGGTTCCGTCCTGAGAGAAGCAGTTTCTGTCTGGTGAAATGTCGAGCACAGTGTTTCTGTCAGTGCTGCTGATGCTGGCGGGGCTCGGAGGGGCAGTTGCGTCTGACATGCAGGTTTTTGAGAAATCAGCTCACAGGGTTAAAAGTTTTCTGGGCAGCGGTGATGAGAGACACAGTGCGAGGAGGCAGCTGCACCAACAGGTAAAGGAGACATTTAAAGCTGTTCTTTAAGGTGAAATGAATATTTGATTGAGCAACGTCTTAACTGATGATTGATTCAGTTGTTTTTATGAGCTTACAGTCTCTGTTTCCAGCCTTTCTATTGTGAAGACAGTTTATCTTTGTCTTTTTTATTACCTCATCAAATATTGGGATTGGTGCTGGTAGGAAGAAGAAAGAAAAACCCAGCATCTTACAGTCTTAGAAGTTTTCTGACATTAGTCACAACTATCCATTTAGACAAACAATTAATGAAAGTGAACAGTTTTAAAGTTACAGCCCTTTCTCCTATTTAGTACTTCTGTCAAGGGCATGAATGCTATTTTTTAAACAAGAAACTGTGTCCAAAATATGCATTAAAAATGTTTCCATTTTGCAGATAACAGACATATGCTTCATGTCTTCAAATGTTCTTGCAATGATAACTGAGTTGATGCTTGATAACGTCAGAAACCATAAACAGGGAGGAGAACTGCACAAGTATTCAAAATGAACCGGCGACTAACTATTTATTTGGACAGCAATGTATTTGCCAACTATTTATAAAGACAGCAAGAAGAGAAAAGACAACAAGATAATATGTAATACTGATAGCAAAGCCATTTATTATCTTATTAAAATAAAAAGCAACAAACATGCAGATGTGAGAAAGTGGAAGCATCAAACCAGTTTGCTTGAACAGAGAGATCAGTGAATGATGAAATAGTTTAACTGCAAAGCCAAATATTCTTGAATTTTCAATCAACAAGAGTTTCTTTGTGATATCTCTTATTCCTATTTCTGTTATATTCTGTATCTCTTCCTCTCTCTCATTCGCTAATAAGAGCAACTGGCTGCTGTGTTTCCCTCCCAGGAATTAATAAACTAGTTTTGATCCTGATCCTGATTCTGATTTTTTTTTTTTTGTCTGCAGACTAAAAGTGAATCCCGTAGAAGTTTGGATCACGAGAGCTTCAAAATCCAATCGACCCCTACCAGTAAAATCAGCCTCCCCACCTTCATCAAGTTGTACCCGCCTACAGCCAAACCCCTCCACCTGCACGCCAACATGCCCATGCGCTTTGGGAGGCAGAGCAGCGCGGGTGAGGACGGAGAAACAAACTCCACCCCTAACTTCCCGCAGAGGTTCGGAAGAGCATGGGACTCGATTCAAATGTGTGCCGAGTGCCCTCGTGTCCGAGCCGCAGCGAACGTACCGCTGCCTCGGAGGTTTGGGAGAAACACGCTGAACTGGAAACTTCTCATGACGCTGGTCAGTAAACACTTACTGGACAACGGCAAGTACTGGTAGGGCTCTATTGTCGTTATTAATACAGAATATAAGATTACACATGGAGCACTATGAGTGTTATAAAAAAACACAAACTGTGTTTTCTCCTCCCATAGGACTGAAGGTGATGTCCTATCAGGCAGCTCAGAAGAGATGGAGATGCCAGACAAAAATCTTTGAAGGATTATGTCAACACTCCAGTAAATAATGTAAATAAAAACAGTGTTTTTACTGTAAAGGCAAATGAATAAAATACAAATAAATATTAAAAATGTTTTGTTCTTGAGTATATGAAAACGAATGCAGATGATTGATTTCAAATAAGAATACATTATGTAAGTGTTTTATTTAGTTGTATTCATTGAAACACTATAGATACATCATTGCTCACTTAGACATGTCAAAATGATCTTCCACATTTAGTGAATTAAAGCAAGATATCAAAAATGCTGGATCTGAAAAGATGCTACACAAAGTCACACATTCTACAAAAAATATGAAGTAAGACAATGTTTGCAACTCTACACTTAGCCTGTGTGTGTGTGTGTGTGTGTGTGTGTGTGTGTGTGTGTGTGTGTGTGTGTGTGTGTGTGTGTGTGTGTGTGTGTTTTAAAATGGGTCTGAACGGATGGACAAAAGATGCCACACATTTAATTAGTAAAGTTGTCATACAGTTTAGTGATTGGCCACTAGGTGGAGACAAAGCGCAAATTAAAATCATAACAAGGTCCCAAACAAAAACAGAACTCAAATCATGTCTCCTTCTTACTGCTAAAATCATTTTCATGACTTATTCAATGGCAAAATGTAAGCATATAATGAACTACCTGTTGGATTAAAATAAAATAGTGTCATGCTTTGTTTCCAAATCTTTACATGAAGGCCTAAATGTTGATAAAGAATCGAGAGATTAAAAAGGGCACATCCTTGTGCTTTGGTTAAAAAGTGTTGTGAGATAAACCTTTAAGCTCCATATGAAATGGACCAAACCTCTTCTTCAACTGTAGAAATCCGCTATTTGAAAAACAATCTGGGTGGAGGCTTCAACAGGGCAAATCTGGAATAACCAGACCTCAGAAATCCATTAAATCCCTCTCTAAACATAACGGCGAACTAATATATTCAACCTACTTAACCCAAGTCATCACGACTGTACATCTTTTTTCTCAAACAGGCACTCTGTATGCCCTCTTATTAATTATTTCTAAGTTATTTAATCAGTCATTCTTGTCATGGTCATGGTCAACTTTATGTAGTGCTTTAAAAACAAACAGGGTTTTTGCCTAATTGCTTTACATAAATTAAGAACATGTAAAAATAAACCACCAGTTGAAAAATCATCATCATATGGCAAAAATCTTAAAAACAAGTGTTGGTTCAGGTAAGGAATCAAATGTAAGAGAAGGTAAGGGAATAAAAACGAGTCTTTAGATCTTTTTTTAAAGCACTCCAGAGAATCTGCTGATATGTAACGGCAGGTTGTTCTACAGTCTTGGTACAGAGAAGGCCCTGTCTCTGAAAACTTTTTGATTAGAACGTGGGATGGTTAGAAGTCCTTGATCTGATGATCTGAGGGGCCATAGCAGTACTGTGTGGTGATCATAGTTCAGCCATGTATACTGGCGCACAGGCTTTGAACTCAAACAACAGAATTTTTGAAGGTATTCTGTATTGAACTGGGAGACAATGCAAGGATGCTAAGTAAAGGTGTGATATATATGATCCCTTTATCTGCCTCTGCAAAGAAGTCTGACAGTGTTGTTTTTAGCGAGTGTTAAACGGTGTATAGAGGATTAATAAAATACAGTGAATTACTTTTGCCCAATTTTCACATGACGGTTTTTTTTTTGCAACTCTGTTCCAAAATGTTGCATGCTGGTGTCTTAAAGTTTAAATGAAATAATCATCTGAAGCCTTGGCCTGAAGTGTCTGAGGTGTCAACTCTTGTGGAAACTTCATTTATAATCCACAAAGTGGCTGTCTTCAGAATCCATGTTCTTTTTAATAAAAAATATATATATATATATTGAATCTGTTCTGTTTTGACGGACCTCCTACACAGAAAGCTGTCAGGGCAAGAAAAGTCACCTCTGTTCAAAAACACATTAAAGGCTGCATTCTTTTTCAGTGTGTCAGTTTTTCAGACCCTGGGATTTTGCTGATTCACTGTTACAGTATAACTTGCTGTGAGGTGCCTCAATACAGAGGGGTGGGTAAATAGTCATGATGGTATAGTTCACCTTTGCTCAGTCAAAAAGTCAAGAAAAAAAGAATAAATAAAGGACATTTCAAAGCTTTTTACTATTCAAGTATAATCAGCGTGGCATATGTGCATGCACCATATCTGTTGCGTTGTGTTTGTGGGAGAGACAAACAATTCTGCAAGTTTTAAACTCCTAAAGAGTTACTCTCTGTGACTTCAAATTCACAAATACACGTGTGACTATTTTCTTCAAGTAGGCCTACAAATGCCACCGGCAGGTGATCAGGAGTTTTGCTCAGAAAATACCTTCATACCTACATATTTTCACAACACAACATATTTTCATATAGCCTATAGCCACTGCAGGGACATTACTGCGCGTTTAACCCCAGTGGCAGAATGCAAACCAGGGGAAAACCTGTTCTACTGCTAATGCTTCATTGCATGTATCAGTCACGCATGAGCACAGCCACAACACATTAAGCGAACATTATAAATCCTAACATTACACTAAGAAGTCAGATGACACAATTGAACATATAGCAATAATATTGATATAGTCATTTCTGAACAGCCAATGATAACTGTCCCCTATAAGCTACACTGGAAACAAACCTCACCTGCAGTTGAAGTCATAATGGGTGTCACTCAAATATTCGGTTTCTTCCTCTTTTAGTTGCGCCATGACTTTTCTCCGAGTCAGCCACTCCCCTCACGGGCATTTGAGATTCTTCAGCAATGAAGGTTCAGATCCGATCGTGTCCCCGAAGCAGCTAGTTTAAAAGCAGGCTGAACGGTAGATAGGCCTACTTCAAGATAACTGAGAGTTATACAACTCTAGAGTCTACAAAGTTTGACTCTGAAAAAAGGAGGAAACTTTTACCTGGAGGTCCTTGAACTACACACTGCCGTCAGGTAGGCTACTGCAATGATTGAAAAAAATATTCATAATAGCCATGGTTGATGTCCATTTACTGCCTAAATTGTGTCACTTTGCAACAGCCTTTCGTACATTGCATTATGCGCGTTCCAGTTTTAATAGGCTACTTCTTCCCGATGTCGTAAGTCTATACGACACAACTATTACCATTCAACGCGCAGTCTTTTTTATCCACGCTGGTAAACAAATTATAAGTTTGTGCTCAGTTTCAGATACAAACTGTTCAAGACTGTTTTCCTCTTAAATTTAGCGTTTTTCATCTTTTGTCCTTCTGTTATTACCAACATCGAATCCGGAAGTTTGAGGGTAGCTGAGTTTTCTCTACCCTCGGTGCCTTGGGGCAGTCAGCCTACTGTGCCTGAACTACACTTTAAACACACTGTGTGTTTTTCATCTCCTCCAGCGGCTCATCATGGGAGACATCGAGAAAGGGAAGAAGGCGTTTGTGCAGAAATGTTCGGCTTGTCACACAGTGGAGAAGGAGGGCAAACACAAGCAGGGACCCAACCTGTGGGGTTTGTTTGGAAGGAAGACTGGACAGTCACCTGGCTACAACTACACAGCAGCCAACGTCAACAAAGGTGCAGATAACTGTTTGCTCAATGTCAAATTGTCAGAATCGTGAACAGGCCACACAAGAGCATGCACAACAAAAGAAAGAGGTTCCATGTAAAATAATAATTCCTCCATAGTGTCTAAAGCTTTCGTTTTGTTTACACTTATACTCCAGGTTGTCACAGAGCGTATCACAACATATTACCTGTCAAAGAGCATCATGCAGACCTTGTGTATAGCCTATACCTTGAAGAAGTGTTCAAAGAAGTGCAGAGAAAAGAAAGAATGTGTCTTTTATCAATGCAGAATGGCATCATCATGCATATTGCATTTTAAGGTATTGTTTAATAAAAAAGAAAAAGGTATTCCAGTTCACTTGTTCACTAAACTGACAATTTTAATGTGGTTTTAACATGGTGACATATATATCGTGACTCTTTACTTAAATATAACAATAAAATGTGCCTCTGAATGTAAGGGCGGCGGTTACAAAGAGCGTAGGAGCTGCTGTATGTTGTGTCGTGTCAGTCAGAGCAGCAGGTCTGAACAGGCTGAACAGCTCTGCTCGAACACGAGGCAATAAAACTAAACACAAGCAGGAATCTCAAGTGTGACAATGCAAATGTGTCCGAACACGATAATGTTCAATATGACAAAAGTGTTGAACATGTGTGTTTGTTTCATTCAGGTATCATTTGGGAGGAGGAAACGCTAGATGTCTACCTAACAAACCCTAAGAAGTTCATTCCTGGTACCAAGATGATCTTCAGTGGACTCAGAAAGAAAAAAGACAGGAAGAATATCATCGCTTATTTAAAGGATGCCACCTCCTAGTGTTGTCAGTGCACAGCACACACACACACACACACACACACACACACACACACTGCTGTGGACATAAGCGCTAAACTGTAAGATCACAGTGTGATTTTTTTGTTTTAAGTTTGAGTCATAATTTGCATTAGATTTTTTAAATTCACATGACTACGTTGTGTTACTCTGGAGCATTGTTGCCACAGTGTTTCTGTGTGTGGGAGACTGTTTTTAATTATCACATGAGTCCGCCTTCAAGTTACATGTGGATTTTCCAGACTGTTCTCAGTTAAGGCTTCTTAAAGGGGCAGCGTTGCATTCGGACTTTCTGAGTTGTTTACCTACAAATAAGACTACTGCTTGCACCTAAACTACACACTTTGCATTTTTTGCCACTAGCTCTCCTGCTGCATTGTTTGTGGTTGTTTTGTTTTTTTTACTTCCTTTAAACGGGTGAACTTTAAAATTGTCTCTATTTTCTTCTCTTGTCTAAGCCGGGTCATCACTTTGATTTTACAAAGCTGCACTACAAAATACGTATGTTGGAATTTTTAAATGTTCTACTTTCATTTGACTTAAGAACGGTTGAGTTAGTCGTCTCTCAGCTGACAGGTTGGAGGTTCGATCCCCAGCTCCTGCTGCTACATGTCCGATGTGTCCTTGGGCAAGAGACTTAACCCCAAATTGCTCCTTCTGCTTTGTCTGCGACGTATGAATGGGATTATTTACTGATGGACATTTTACATAGCAGCCTCTGCCATTAGTGTGTGAATGGTGTGAATGTGTAGGTGTGACCTGCAGTGTAATAGTGCTTTAATAAGACTAAAGCACTATACAAGCTCAAGTCCATTTTCCGTTCAAGAACAGAATGTTCTGATGAAACTATATGTAAGTAACAAAGGTTTATGTTAGATTCATTACCCTTAAACTCAATGTATAATAAAAGGCTAAATGTTTACATTTATATACACTTTTTACAAGTTACTGTTTTATACCTTTGTTTTTTTCTTTTTTAAGCAATACCTTGTATTGAGTAACAGATGTGGCTTTAAAAACTGTCTTTGTGATACTAAAGTACTCTCACTGGGATTGCATTGTTTCCTTCCTCTTTGAAATGGCACACCTACTCGTTCAGTCACTTGCTGTACTTAATATATGTTTGTAGTTTGTGAGGTCATGAAACAGTTAAATTGAAACATATTTATAAAAGCAAAACTAAAATGGATGAATAGATGATGGTTTAACTTGACACAGCCTAGATACAACTATATGTCAAATTCCTAGATCAATATACTGTCCCTTTAAGGGAATAAAGGTTCTTTTTTAAATTCAGAAAGCTAGCCTTTGTATGAACAGCGTAGGGTAAATTCACACATCTATACAGTGTATTTGCATGTCAAAATGCAGAGTGAAGGTATGTAACATTTCTGAATATTGATTTTATTGATATATTTTCCATTAACTGATATGTCCAGCAGAGGGCGCCATTTCGCTACTATAGCGCACATCAGCGCCACTCATCGTGCCAAACGACTGTAAGCATTCTGATTTGAAATGTCAGAGCCATGCCAGCTATCCAGCACGTTGCTCTGAAGTCGATCCAGATTTGACAGCGCTTAATGAACCTATCATTCAGAGCCGCTGAGACGGGGCTGCCACCGCTGTGTTGGCCCCACTAGTGAGCATTTAGCACCGGGATTTAAAAAAAAAAAAAAAAAAAAAAAAAGGGCCCCTCCCTCCTCAATACTGGTGTTATTGATCAGCTGAGGGAAAGAAGCAGGCCGATAAGTGGATCAGATTTATTAGCGTTCCAGATTGGCTGCATCTTGCCAGAAGTCAGAGGAGCTACAGTCTGCAGGGCTGCACACCGAGCAGGTCACTAAGAGGAGCGCGAGCCTGCGTGTCCACAAGTGCGGCATCATCTCAAGTGGAAGGTAAGTGGTGCTCGTGCATTAAAAGGCATGGGTGTAAACGACACTGCTTGCATTTGTGCATTAAGGCATGCTTCACCTTTAATTATATGAGGAAGGGGAGGACATTTGAAGACGGTAATGAAGTTATGAATAACTGATGGGACACAGTGCAGTATGTTTTCTGCAAAACACGTGTCAAAAGGTTGGATCATTTTCAGGATTTGTAATATCTTCTATCCAATATCATTAACTTGCATTCACCAGATAAAATGTGACCACACTTGCTATGTTTGTGTGCATGGACCTGTGTCAGCCGCAAGATTGTTCTTTTATTTCTGTCATAATAAGCCTGTTTGTGTAGCCCCCCCCCCGCCCCCCCTCTGTTTTTAATTCTGGCACGAGGCTGAGGGTTTGGTGCACGGCTGGAATTACAGCGGTGGCTGCATCTGCTGCAGTCTTGAGCTGCAACAAGTTTATTATGCTATGAGGAGAGAGAGAGAGAGAGAGAGAGAGAGAGAGGCTTCAAAGGACTAAGGGAGGGACAATAAGGAAAACTGACAGCTACCAGTCAGTGCATTACGTTCAGGCTGCAGAAATAGAGTGCGTGTATGACAGCTTGTGGTGTATGTTTTAGGGGAAGTTAAACCTGCACGATGGAGCTGGTCAAACTTGCAGTGTCCTTGCACATTTTTCTGTGTCCTGCGTGGGCTCTACCCCGTCACTCCTACATGGACAGCATCCTGTCAACACACTCAGGTGAGTACTGCAAGTGTGCAAAAGGAACACATGTTGCATGCTTTTTTTTTTTCCACCATCTCAATTCATTATGACAGACTGATCACTAAATGCTGTTGGATGGATGTCTTTCCCTCAGTTCTCGGCTTGCTGGATGAGCCGTTGAGGTTTGACCCCTGCTGCCTCATGTCACCCCCTCCGCCACCACTCTTCCCTCCGCCGCCTCAGCTGTGGAAGCGGGGCATCCCCGTAAGTCACACATGCATAAATACACCCCATTTACACTTGTGTAATCTCACAGTAGATCACTTCCTTAACTTCCTATTTTTCTTTGAATTTATGTTTCAAAAGGATGGTATAAGCATCTTAGAGCCAAGTGTTTCTGGAGAAAGAATACCAGAAAAACAAAAACCTGAGACACCTGGGTGTTCACCTGGACCTCCAGGACCTCCAGGACCCGAGGGGCCTGAGGTAAAAAGAAAAATGTTGCAAACCTCCGATAAGGGGCTGCACCACTTTCAAGTCTAATTAAATCACAGCACATTAATCAGACATTGTACTCTGGATGGAAATATTATTTTAAAAAAAATCATGAAATGAAAAATTACCCTTTTAGTATTGATTTTTAACAAATGTACCATGTTTTTTTTAGAGTGTGTGAGCTGGATACAAATATGCTGTCATTTTTCAGGGTCAAAGCGGATTACCAGGCATTAGAGGACCAAAGGGGGAGAAGGTGTGTTGATAAAGCTCTTGAAATAGGCTTGTGATGTATTTTGCTACAGAAGTATTTCTGTTTGTGTCCTTGAGTTCCTCTTTGCTCCAAAGACCGCTTCATCTCCTCTACTCTCATTTGTCCTCTCCAGGGAGAAATTGGACGTCCCGGGTTGAAGGTGAGCCGCTCCTCCCCTCCTGCATGTCTTGATTCCTTGCTCATCTCTCTCTGGTCCATCTTGCATGTCCTTGGAATAATGGGATCTCAATATTTCTGCCTCTGTTGTCCCCTCGATGCATTCTAAATCTCTGTGATGTGATTTGTCTATTGATGCGCTCAGAATATCCTCTGCAGCTGCTAAATGGGTCAAGCTACATTAGTCTCAGAAGCTGCTCTGACCACGCAACGAAGGTTGATCACAACCCTGAAAGTCTCCTGTCACTCTTCTGCTCCTCACCTCTCTCTCATCTTTTCTTTTTCCTTGGTGTCTTCCTTCCCTCTTTTCCTTTCCTTGGCCTGGCTCCATTAGCCCTTGTGCTGGACTCAAGTCCTGCTGATCCAAGCTTCAGCGATCCACTTCTGCACTTTAATCTCCCTAAGTGCTTTCGCTCTCCATGATAAATCATTCCACACGGCGGCAGGTCCGTGGTGTCTCTATAGGCTGCAGTTTTAATGACAAGGAGCTAAATGAGAGTACACTGCTAGCATGGCAGCAGCTCTGGAGTTCTTGTCCTGGTGTCACTGAGATGTGGGGCTATTGTGTAATCTGTTTGGCTTTCCTGCTTTCAGAGAACTGGCAACAGAACAAGTTCTATTAAGCCTTTATTCCTGTCCACTAAAAAGCCAGTCTTAGTGGCAATATTGTGGTTTAGCATGTATGTTTTTTTACTCTATTACTTCTGGTTAAGAAATCTCAGGAGGTCAGTTTGAAGTGCTTCTGCCCCTTATTGATTCACAAGAAAATACTTTCTTGTGAATCAATTATCATTTGAAAATTATCATTTTGATCAACAGAGATATTTGTATCAGCATATAGAGCAACGTACAATAGCAGAACCAAGCAACAGAAAACAATAACAGCTTGTTATTGTCACAAAGCTATGCTAGCTGTTCCCCTGTTTTCAGGATTTAAGCTTAGCTCAGCATGCTAATATAACAGGGTATTAGCAATAGCCTTATGAATTTGAAGTCGACTTTAGAGGGATACAGATCATGTTCTGTAACTCTTGTCAAGACAGTGAATGGTAATGTTTGATCCAAAGTAAACAGAAAAAGCATTTATATTTTTTGCATCAATCTCTGTGTCTCTGTAGGGTCGTACTGGGGCTCCAGGCCTCCCGGGGAAACCAGGTCTACAAGGATGGCCTGGTCCAGAGGGACCTAAGGTACGTCCTATCCTCTAGATTTGCCTTAAAATATAGGATGAACTGTTACTTATTTTTGTGTCCTTTTTAAGGGTGAAAAGGGGGATCCAGGACTCATGGGATTACCAGGACTGAGGGGACCACCTGGAACAAAAGTAAGTCATATCTTTTTGACATCATAAGCAGAATTGTGAACATGTTAGCAAAGACTAGGGATGTTTCTACTCTAGCCACTAATGTGCCTGTTTATGAAATGGAAATTTGGAATTCAAATAAGTTTACCAGTCTAAAAGCAAGAAAATACTTTATATCCTGTGAGCCTGGTTATCTTTTCAGGCCGAGCAGGATACCAACTTGTGCGAGTATACAATGTCAGATTTGTTTGCAGAATGCTGCTAACATTAGCAGATGACACAGCCTAAATACAACTCTATCTCAAATTGCTAGATCAATACACTGTCTGTCATACTGCGCTTCTCCTATGACATGCCATCTGCCTACAGTGCTGGTTTACATCTGGGCAGTAGAGCAGGGAGAGCAGGCCCATTAACTGAAGCATTAACTACATCTAGTGGTGGATGGCTGCATTACAGCTTGGACACAACATTTGAGGACATGTTATATATTAATAGCTAACTGACTAGTAATTCTGGTGCCGATTTGTGAGGGTTAAAATGTTTAATCGTTTAGTTGACAAATACATCCCCAGTAAAGACAGACTTAAGGTTTTTGTCGACCATTATTGAGTTTCGATCTGATGTTGTATCACTTACTTATCTTTTCAGGGTTTGCCTGGTTACAAAGGAGATAAGGTAATTTAAGAATCAATTCTAACTGTACACAGTTGTAACTTTAAAAATACTCTATCCTTATTTTAGTGTTTTTCTCTTCATTCTTTTTAAAAGGGGACTCGTGGAGACCCTGGAGCAGCAGGACCAAAGGGCGATAAGGTTGGTGGAGAAATATATTAATTTCAGGCCCTTGTTATTTTTTAGATTTTGTGATGGTACTTCTTTGTGTCCCATTTATGTGTGTCTTTCACTAATGGCATTTTTTACTATGTTCAATACTTGAGACACTTTTTTCAGGTCCCTTCATTTCAGGCTCTTTTGACTCCTCTATCTCAAATTTGGAACAAATGATCATTAAACACTTTATGAGATCTGCTCTACTGAGTTAATGACTTTTCTCACATCATGCTCTCATTTCGTCTCCATTTAGGGCTCCATTGGTTTGCCTGGGATGCTTGGACAGAAGGTAAGAATGGTTCCATAATAACTACAGTTGAGAACAGGATTTAAACTGATCCTTCCTCAACTCCATTCCCAGGGTGAACAGGGACCAAAGGGAGAGCCAGGAAACTCAGGGAAGAGAGGACCCTCTGGACGGCCTGGGAAGAGAGGCAAGCAGGTGCGGAAAGACGTTGAAGAATAATGCACAGGGTGTTTGTTCCCTCTGTGAACAATATGTTTTTGACATATATGTGTAAGATGTTTGTTGGCATCAGAAGTTCCACACATTTAAACGCATTGTGACAGCATCAATTAACCCTGGTGTTCACACTTAGACTCTGTGAACGAAGAGCTATATCTTTCACCAGCTATATGTCACAACTTCATATCCAGTGCTAACTTTAGACTTACATAGGTGATGTAGGGTCTTTGTCATCTCTATATATCTATACATCACTCACACGTTTATTTTCCATGGACTAGATTACCAGAGCTATGCACAAGTGGAAAAAGCATGGAGGTCACTTCCACTGCATGTTTATGTATGCTTGTATTCCCTGATGTTTGGATGTTGCCTGGTTTGCACAGGGCATGAAAGGCCACAGTGGAACACCAGGAGTTATGGGACCCCCAGGACCCGCTGGTCCGAACGGACATCCCGGGCCACCTGGTCCACCTGCCTCAGGTACAATAGCTCATTAGTTAATTAACTTCAAATTTAAGTTTTAAATCTATACTACATAGACTTCATAAGAAGTTGATGTAGCCACCATGATGTTACACACTGGTTTGTCAACTTAAGTCTTAAAAACATTAACCTAAGTAACTAGTTAAAGAAAGTTACCCCCCATAGAGAGCTAGCTGTTGGTGAATTATAAACATTCATCTCTTCATAATAGCCAGAAGATCATGATTAGCGCTAATGTATACATTAAATAGTACAAGTTGCCACTTTGTGTTATATCAAAATATGATGTAGTCACATGAGTGTTAAAGTCATCTTCTTTGCCACACATTCTTTGATTTTTGCAGGTCTATATCTAGTGGGGGAAAAGGGAGAGAAGGGTCTTCCAGGTCCAGCAGGTCGTTGTGACTGTGATTCTACCCATGGTGCTAACAATGCTCCTTTTGGAAGCTACACACAGCGGACTGATCCTAACAAAGTCCCTGCAGTAAGACACTGTTCAGTTAAAACTGCAACCTTACAATATCCACACTCAAAGATGATAAATCATTTCTCATCAGCTTTACCTTTCTCCTGTATGTGTGTAGATATTTGTTGTAAACAGTGAGGAGGAGATGGAAAATCAACAACTGGACAATGCAATAGCATTCAGGAAAGATCAGAAGATGCTCTACTTCAAAGATAAAGATGGATGGAAGCCCATTCAGGTGATAACTATAAGAGTGTTTTAAATCGCAATACGACGTATTTACACTGGATTTTCTAAAAACAAGTGCTAGATGCTGTCATTTTTCAAACATTGACCAATGAATACATAACCCCTAAACACACTATCAGACATGTCTTTTGCTAACAAACTGATATATCTGTAGAATGAATTTGAAAAATTGTCTGCAGAATAAAGACTTGCAACTTAAGGGGACATAGAACTGAAATAACTTACAAGCCACTTTTAAAGATAAAGATAAAGATAAACTTCATTGATCCCCCGTGGGGGAAATTTATGCATTACAGCAGCTCAAGAAAACAGGGGACGGGAATATAATTATTAAAAATAAAAATAGAAGTTAAAAATCAAATCAAACATATTTACATCAGTTAAATTAAAAAAAAAAAATTAAAAAGAAATAACTATTTAGGGACAAAGCAACATACAGTACATCTAATATAACAGCATACACTGCTTTATTTGAAAGATCTATTTTAGAGCTTTTATGCCTTTATCTGATTAGACAGCATATAGAGTAATCACCGGAAATCATAACTTAATGAGTCATAAGTCATAAGTTCATATCATCATAAGTTTTATTTCGTTTTTACCAACAATCTGTTTCTACAGCAGCTGAGTCGTGTGAGGAGGAAGCTTAATGTTACAACCACGTCGTTCATAACAAGCCAAATCAACTTGATAACGTAACCGAATAACAATGTGCACAAACAGATGCACTTACAGTACAAAACACCAGCAGAAGTTGGCATCAAACAGGAGAGATACAAAAACAACCAGTACGTTTATACAAGAGGGGACGTGAAAAGAGTGTTTCACAGTACCATGAGTTCCTGTCACAGTGAACATGAGCAGGAGGGGCAGAGCCAGCGCAGAGTGTGCACTGATTTATCCCTGATTACTCAGAAGATAAACATGTTAGGTTAAAATGGCTTGAAGAAAAAGAGGATTTTCTGGCACAAACTTCACCAAGTGACAAGGTGCACGAAGAGTGAAAGGCTTAGAAGAGGTCAAAATGCTCCAGCAACACTTGTAGTAAGAAGATCAACTTAAAATGGACCATGTTAAAATGGCTTCCAGAAAGGCCTACTTGGGCTATCATTATAATAATAATAATAAAGTTTATTTATAAAGCACTTATCAAAACCAACGTCACAAAGTGCTTTACAGAAAAAAGAAAAGAAAAAAAAAATCCCAACAAATACACAACAATAAAATCCTATTAAAAGCTTGAAAAATAAAACAACAGTGCAGCAATCATTCAATTAACAGACAAAAGAGAAACAACCGAGACAAAGATTGGTTAAAGTTAACAGTGAAACAAATAAAACATCCTGGATGAAACCAGGATTATAAGAAGGCCTTACGATAAAAATGTGTTTTTAAAAGTGATTTAAAAGAAGATACTGATGTAGCTAGTCTGAGATCCTCAGGCAGGTCGTTCCACAGCCGAGGAGCCCGAGCTACAAATGCTCGATCTCCTTTAGTTTTCAAGTATGAGGTGTGAACAGTAAGGAGGGTTCCTGCCTGAGGATCTCAGGTTACGCACTGGCTGGTAAGGGGACAGCAGTTCAGAAATATATTCTGGGGCCAGACCGTGAAGTGCTATAAAAGTAAGAAGTAAAACCTTAAAATCAATCCTAAAAGAAATGGGTAGCCAGTGGAAGGTCATTAAAACAGGTATTAATATACCTGGGTGTGGGGCCTAGGTTAAGTCTGTGTAGGAAACACTGGAAGTTCATTACCTTAATGGTAATGCCCCCTGGCATAATACAGAGGGCGCTGCAATGTAGGCTACATTCAAACAAAAGGTCAGGGGGGGTTTGATCCCCAGCTTCAGCAGACACATGTTGAAATGTCCTTGAGAAAGACACTGAATCCCGAATTGTTCCCACTACTGTGCAGCGATGTGTGAATGTGTATGAACGGGATTCGTTAATACTGATGGACACTTTATGTAGCACCCTCTGCCATCATTTTGTGAATGTGTGAATGAGTGAATGTGACCGGTGGTGTAAGAAATGCTTTGAGTGGTCAGAAGACGAAAAAAGAGATACACAAGCTCGAGTCCATTTACTATTAACCTATGCTTTCTCAGTGGCTAATAAGGTCGTCTTTGATTTGGTTTGAAGCCCTTCCAGCCGTTCCAGTCCACAGAGAAAGTCCCGGACAGAGTTGGTGTGTGTGGGGATGGAAAGGTGCAGCCTCAGCACGGAGAGGAGTGTGATGATGGAAACCAGATCATCACTGATGCTTGTCTCAGTGAGTAACCTGCAAGCTTTGTTATTCTTTATGTAAAGGACCATGTATGACAACAATTTAGACCAATAACTATGCATGTTAGTCTTGAAAACAGAACAGAGTAAGTTAGACTTTTTGCTGCACAAGCACCACTTTGCTGTCTCACACCCAGCTGTTCATGAGATACCCTGCAGAGCGTCGCCACAGTGCACCACAGAGTCTGAGCCCACAGGGCAGCGCATGAAAGCAACGCACACTATGAAACTTTTCCTTGATCTTTCATTAATCTTGCCCTCTCTTTTCCTGCCATCCTCTCACTTCTCCTTTCAATTAAATTAGCAGAAAATGCTGTATTGGCATCCCTGAAACACACAGGAGTGCCAAAGCATTAGTAATGTCTTCTCTCTCTTTCTTTCCTCCCTTGCTCTCTCCTTACTCCTGCGTTTTCCCCATGTCCCCTCAGACTGTAAGTGGGCCTACTGTGGAGACGGATACCGACATGAAGGCATGGAGGAGTGTGATGGAAAGGACTTTGGTTATCAGACCTGTAAATCCTATCTTCCTGGGTATGTTTTTTTTTTTTTTTTTTTTTACTTTATTGACCTGCGTCTTTGGGCCACCATTCCTCATCTTCTCCTTGGCCAAGATAGTGCAATTAATTTATTTAAAAAAAATCTGCAACCATCTTAAGCTAAAGACTGTACAGGTCACTTAAATTATATTATTTACTTTTATTGATGATGTCTCTTAAATGAGGCTGCATTATGCTGCCAGCACTTACTGTATCATGAATTATAACTTATATAAAAAAAAAATCTATTTCTTAAAGTTATACAGTAATTCAGAAGTTTGGTAAAATATGCATATTTGCTTTTTTACTGAGAATTGAAAAGATTGATGCCATTCGCATGTGGGTTAATTTAGCTTAACATAATGACATGCACAATTCCTGTCCAACCAGAAACTATCATTTTAAAACCTTTATTTGTTTGGCTGGTCAGAACTTCAGATACTGATCAAACCCACTTGTCAAACATTTTGACAAGAGCCAGAAGGCTGCCGTTTCATAATGTTTTGAGACTTCATGCTAAGCTAAGCTAATTAACTGCCAGTTCTAGCTTCATATTTGATGTGCAGAAATAAGACTGGTATTAACCTGCCATTACACATTTCCCAAATTGATAACCATGTCTCTAAAAAAAAGCTATTTGAGGTTTGCAGCCCAACTTCTACCATTACTCAATGTAACTATTCACTTTTGAATAATACATATTGTTCCTTGTCTTCTGCAGGTCCTTTGGGCAGCTCAGATGCACAGACTCTTGCCTCATTGATTCCACTGGTTGCAAGTACTTCACCTGAACTGAAAAGTGGAAAAAAAAAAGAAAAGATGGGCATCTCTACTTAATTACGGGGAATGTACTCCAGATTTCTCCTGAAGTTTTACCCTTTAAAAGTTACCTGCTGGACTAAGAAAGAGTCCTCAAGGGAAGCTCTTGTGCCTGTTCTGAGCCATGAAAAGTCACGGGAGTCTGCTTTGAATGGACCCGTCACCCCCTGGTCTTTAACTTTATTGGACTCAGGGAGCAGCTTTATGTAACTGTCCCTCTATCGGCTGCAGGACTGTTACGGACACTTGTGATGACAGGGAACCTTTAAACGATTGTATCATATTAAATACTTACAATGTGTATGACTTGCTGACTGTTGATATAGAAATAAGCTATTTCCTGATCTTATTTTGTAATGAGTAAGGGTCAAATAACCTTTTCTTAAAGAAGCAATGATATTGCTGATGCTGATGACTGTAGTATGCAAATCCGGGGTGTGCAAATGTGTTTACTCCTGTGCAAGACATGTAAAGTGCAATGTTATAATATTGCATGATAATGTGTACCAGAACACAGCTAGAAACTTTATATAGTGCTGTAAATGTATAGCCTAAGTTTTCCCAATTCAAATGGATGTCTCGATATAGCCCAGACAAAAGATATGTGTAACACTTAAACAAGAAGAAAACAACAACAGTACCCTCCAGCAGCATGAAGAAACTGCTCAGTTAGTAATTCAGTCAAATATGATCAGTGGATACTCTTCCTGCATGACTGTAAATTTACTAAAACATGATACTCAAATAAAGATTGTAGGCCAACACATCAGAGTCCTGATTCCCTGAGTCAAAGTGTCTGTGGGCGGGGTTTAAAAAAAAAAATCAAAGCCACCAATCAGAAGAAGACTTCCTGCAACAACACGTATAATGAAACAGCCACCGTGCCACGTAGAGGACCATCTGCACGCCTGCACAACATTTGTTCCAAAAGTTTTCCTTGCCTCTGTGCCCTGTGGTTGTCTCGGTCTGGCTGTAGTGTGTAAGAATGCTGCTGTCGGTGCTGAGCTGGCTCTGCTCCTCTCTGCTTCTGTCTGTCAGCGGGGGGAAGCTGCCTGAAGCGGAGGTGCAGATAGAAGTCCTGCACAAACCTTTTCTCTGTCACCGAAAGTCAAAATACGGAGACATCCTGTTGGTACATCATGAGGGGTACTTGGAGAACGGGACCCTGATTCACTCCAGGTATGTGCTTAAACAGCCTCCTGAGTTGGGCGTGATTAGTTGTTACCATGTTAAAAAGTTGTTCTCTATTTATCCCAATGGTTACGTTGTATGGACGCTACTTCCTGTATTTACTTTTCTTTATCAGCTTGAACACATTTGTACTGAAGTTGACATTGTTGGCTTGTTGCTTGTTACATTAGGTTTACATGACATTCCTTCAGCCGAGCAACATGTTCGTGTTGGCGCACGCGGGACGTCTCCTTGGTGACGCCTCCTTGCAAAGGGTCACGTGATATAACTTTAAAGGGTCAGGCCGCCAAATTGTAGCCTATAAAAATATATTTATTTCACATTACCCCTTACATTTTCTGCCATTTGACTATCCTTGATGTACAGATTTCTTACAGACACGTCGAGTAACTTTATTTATATGGCACAAAGAGTTTACAAAGTACCTGGATAAATAAGGGAATCAGGTCCTTTTTGTCCAGTGACAGTTTATATGAATTTACACCAAGAAGACAAAAAAATGTGGAAATCTATAAAGGTAGCAGAGGGTAAACAGAGAAATTAAAAACATCCGGAATCCAAACTAACTACATAAAAACAGTAAGATAAGAAACTGTAATTTAACACCCACAGAACCTCCTGCACATGTAAAAACTAATTTGCAGAGCCAAGCTTAAACAAGCCAGCCCTTTGGTTGGATTAGAGTTTGTGATTCTTACTGCAATTTTGGTTGTGACAAATTCACTCAGGGCAACAATAAGAGAATCAGTGAAACAGAAAGAAATCAAATAGCCCCATCTCCACAATAAAGGCACAAAAAGCCTAAAAAAAAATCTTTAAAAAAAAATCTCAATTATTCCCTTCTCAGACACTGATCTACTGTTTCTGTTTCTGTGTGTCCACTAGTCGAAGTCATGGAGACAAGCAGGCAGTGTGGTTCACTCTGGGTATCAGAGAGGTGATCAAAGGCTGGGATAAAGGCCTGCAGGACATGTGCTCTGGAGAGAAGCGGAAACTCATCGTACCTCCAGCTCTGGCCTATGGGAAGGAAGGGAAAGGTAGTTGTTGCTCTCTTCATAGCATGATGTAAGCTCTGCTGCATGAAGCACTTTTATTATTATTATGGAACTTATTTATGCATGTTTTATCTGTCTGTCTTGTTTTAAATGGCTGTTTAGGACTCAAACGCTGAATGAAGGCTTCATTCAGTGATATTAGTCCACTTATTGTCTACATGGAGCATGTGAACAGTAGTGTGCTCTGCCCTGGTAAGCACACATCACCCTAACCAATCGCATCCATCTCTCCCATGTCTAATTAACTGACAGCATGAAGACAACTGTATGACATGTGTGACTCGTTATGCACCCAAAGTTTGCTTCTCAATGGCACTTACATTTCTGATTTTAATACTCACAATTGTATGCAGCATGTTTATGAACTCTTCTGGAGATGAAAGCCAGACAAAGTTTAATTTAACGTCCTGCACTGTGATTGTTGTCGTCCAATGTCAGGCAAGATCCCACCTGAGAGCACACTCACCTTCATCATCGAGGTGCTTGAGATCAGAAATGGACCGAGGTCACACGAGTCCTTCCAGGAGATGGACCTCAACGATGACTGGAAGCTATCGAGGAATGAGGTGAAGACAAGTAATACCTTAAAGGAAGAATGTGTGACTTTTTGATCCAGTAGATGTCGCCCTTGAGCACCAGCATGAAACCAAAACAAACCGCTGTTTGGCGACATCTCCGCCATACTGAAGCCTCCGCTCTCCTCCAGTGTCACACCTCCAACCCCTCTCCACTCGCGTTCACCAAAGAGGAGTTATCAATTAAAACGCACCATAATTAAGCACCATTAAGTGCAAGCAGTGGACATAATTGTCCTTTGCTCGAGCTACAATTGCCTGTGCCCTGCTCGTGTTAGTAGGCTAATGTTAGCACACTCTAGTTCACTCGTAGCTTCATATTGCACATAAATTGACACAGAATGACCGTGATCTTAACACTAACGTGACATCCAAATAAGCAGTTAGTATGTTATTCTTCTTTTCTCTAGTCCTTGACTAAAACAGCTTTTTACAAAAGGCTCTCCAGTCCATGTAAACATGATGTAAACATGGCTCCAACCACTGTACAGCTGGCTCATGACTCAGAGAGACATTTACACAGGATATACTTGATTTCTGCTGTATTTATGTGTAAAATGTTGCACATTCTTCCTTGAACTATTTAACATTTCAATATTCATGTGACTACACATACTACTGTAAATAGATGTGATGTAGGCGTCCTCTTATTAACATGCCTTCTATTGTGTAGTTGGAGGTAAAAGACAGATCAGTCATCCAAAGTCAATTCTGAACACTGTAACTCATCCCAATCTCCTCCACCAGGTGAAAGAATACCTCAGGAAAGAGTTTGAGCGTCATGGCTACCCTGCCAACGACACCCTACATGAGAACATGGTGGCTGATATCTTCGCCAAAGAGGACGAGAACAAAGACGGCGTCATTTCCTCCAGAGAGTTTACCTACAAACACGATGAACTCTAAATTGTCTTTAATGTGCCAAAAAATTCACTCAAGTCACTCGTTCATGTTGTCTTCCAGTCTTCTGTGAGTTCACACAGTAGAAATACTTTTGTGCTTTTTTGAGTTCATTACTGAAACTGTCTCAGGTTATATGAAATATGTATGAGGAATTACTCTGCAGGACTTAAGCCAACAGCCGATTATTTCTGTTTCTTTTTTTCTTTTGAGCAGATTTTTACATTTGTGTGTATTTGCACAGGTCTTTTAAAGGCACCATGTGGCACATTGACATTTCAGAAAAATAATTTTCATTCATCTTGTATTTTGAGACTATTTTCATTGTTTACAGTTGTCTCTTATTTGTAATAATAAAAAAGGAGTAAATGTTTGTAATGTCAGCGTTTGCTAACATGTAATGGAAGTGGGTATCCATTTCTAGAGTTCTTGTTTCCTTTTTGAAGGTTATTTGATTTAAAAATGTTCCCTCGTTGGCCTTAGGAAGAAAAAAAGGTCTTGCTTCTTTTTTTCTTGTAATAAAGAAATCAAACTTAGGCGAATAAATAAGGATTATTGAGGTGTAGTGCAGACAGAGTATGTTCTAAAGTAGCACAAATATATTGTAGTATATTCTGTATGTTTGGTCTTGGAAATGTGAACTTTCAATTGTTTTTTGAGCATTAAGCCTGTCTGCTTTAGTATTATTGCTTTGATTTATTTCCTGAACAGTATTTTTAAACGGAAGTTGTTTTTTTCTCAAAAAAGAGACCAACCAGTTGGTTTAAAAACAGAAAAAAAGAACCAAGACCAAATTTGTGTTTATCAAAGGGCTCTAGGTAATTTAGTACACACAGTTCTGGTACACCTCAGCATAATCCAGCCATCACTATCAAACACCTGTGTTTGGCAAGTAGATATATCTGAAGCTGTTAAATTACATGAATGCACTGTAGTGCAAAATTGAAAAGGATATATTGACCAACTCTGATCTTCAACATTTAGTGCAGTTTTAGGATTCTTTGTGGTTAGGATCAAATTTGTGTTTAACTGACTGATTCTCTACAAAGAGTGATAATCTTCTTATTCTTCAACAGTACTAGGCTATTCTGAGGTGTTTTTATGTGATTCTTGAGCTAGAAAATATTTCTAGTACCAACAAAAGTCCAGACTGTCTTGTTTATGATTTTGTTTTTACTTCTTTAAGGCAAATACATCACGATTTGACTGAAGAGCAATATCCCTGATCTTTTTAAGGCAGAATCAAACATTAACTTTTTTTT